AACCTTCTTTTTGAGTGTGGGAATTAACAATCTACATGAAATACAGCAATCAGGGAACAGGAACAAAAGCTAATATACTTATCTCTGTAGCAGAACTTAGAAGCACAAACAGGGAATTACAGATATTTGAAGTTAAACTACTTTTGATCTAGAAGACAGGCTGGCATCTTGGTTCTCTAATCTGAGAGAGCATTTTGGAAAAGGCCAAAAAAGAAAATCCTTCTCTCCCCTCAGGAGGTTGAACACTGCAAGGAAATTCTTCTTTAGCCAGAAGATGTCTTGCAAGCCACCTTATTCTTCCCGTTGTCTATGATCAGCTTTAATAAGGTTCTTCAGGAAGCTTTTATTATTGTCACATTGCATTAAATCCTTTATGCATAATAATTTAACACCAAACGAAACAATTGCAGGGCAACAACTGTAAGTTTTAACGATTTATTAAGAGAAGTGTAATTATTATGTATTAACCATACTGGAATGTAGTATTTTGTCCTAAGTACTGTATTTAAAGATCTATCTTAATGTATTTGTGCAGTTTGGCCCAGTTATATGTTTCTGTGGGAAATGTAGCCATGCAGTTATATTATTTCCTGGCTTCCTATGTGTTAGCTTTGGGATGAATCTATTAGTTTTCCCAGTTGATTGCTTGCTTCCTTTTTAGAGAGAGAAATAAATTTAAAGTATTTTCATAGCTTTGGCTTTTTTGTTAAAAGATTTTTCCTAAAATCTAGGTTTTGCTTCATGGGTTTGACAGTGTGCGTATTCATGACAAATGTAGGAATTTTCTATCCCATTAAAGTTTCAACTGATAATTTCAGCAGATACTCCTTCAGAACGAAATAAATGCTGTTACTTAGTGAAGAGTGATTAAAAGCTCTTAAGTCTTTAATGGAATATGATACCTTTCATTTAGTCATTAAATAGTATTTCATGATTTCTTGGCTAGTTATGTACAATAGAGTTTTGCTGGTCGGTTAAGGACTTCTTCAGCTCCACTTGTTTCAACAGTAGCTCAATAACAAAAAAACTCTGATGGTTCAATCCCAGTTAACGACTGTTGCAAAAGAAAGGCAAAACAAGTGAAACAGAAGGTCAGAGCATGTGTGCAAGTATTGGCTGGCAAGAATCCTATTGACTTGTATTATAAAATACCCAGTGGATATGTAAAAAAAAATAGGGTAATTGTTTTGAGAGTTTTATCAGCTCTCTGTTGATCTGGGATTTTTTTGGCAGTTTCTCATGTTCAGTAACCTTCCTTAGTGAAATATGAAAAAGTACTGTAATTTAGTGGATATGATGTACAAAAATTAGTAGAAGACAGCATTTTTCTGAAGCTCATTTTTATAATCCATATGAGAATGGAGAAATACAATATTCCTGTGTCATAGGAAGGATAAATCTTAATGTACTTAAAAGTACGGAAAAACTACATGAAAGCTTGAGGCTTTTTTAATTTAGAATTTTGATGAGCTGTATATTTTAGTTTAAACTGTAGACAGTTTGTGCGCTGTGTTCATGCTTCATTGCAACAGAACAAATCAAAAGAAAATTACGTTCTCTCAAAGAAATCAGAGTAAAAAAGAACTAGTGTGAGAACAAAATCTCAATATTAGGTTTATAGAGAAAATGTTTTCTCAGACAATTTCTTGGAATATAAATTCCTTAGCAGATAAATATTTAGTCTTTTAAGACCGTATAACAAAATTGCAATTTGCATGTTGAACAGTAGCTGGATATACAGAACTTAGATGGAAATCACAGTATCTGGAGGGGTTTCTTTCAAAACCTATTTGTTTTTTTCCAGATTTGTCATCTTAGAAGATTCCACATAAGCCTACCAGAGACTTTAAGATTGTCCATAATACAGCATCAAATTTAATTTTTCAACATTAAAAAGAACAGTAGGATCTAGGAAGAAGGTATAAACAAGGAGCATTTGTGTACAAACTGCAGTATTTCTTCAGGCAAAAAGGTCTTCTATTATACACAGCATGCAAGTTTTACAATAAAAGATGGTTTGCTAGTGTATATAACTACAAATGACAGAAGATAATACAATGGCTGATTTGAAAGTGTTTTCATGTTTGTATTTAGAGGTTATTTTTTTTTTTTCTGCTTGCTAACTCTGATACATCAAATGTGATGGAGAGAGTTGCACAGACACCTGAGAGGAGAAAATCTTTCTCATTTCACAGCTATTCTCTGGGTGTAAATTTTGATTCAGAGGAAACCTAATCAGCTCCACCAGAAGCATGACTAATGAATGACTTTAGCTTCCGACCTGGCAGTAGAATAGTAAGGTAGTGGTAACCCCCATGGCAGGAACTGGGTTTTTTTGTTTGTTGGCTTTGTTTTTGGTGGGTGGGTGGGTTGGTTGGTTGGTTTTCAGAGCCCCAGATTCTTGCTCTGGCCCTGTCTAGTGAAAAGGTGCTGAATCCATGGCACTCAGCTTCCGAATATGGAGATGAAGGATTCTTCCTGTACAAGTGATTCCAGGCTCCCTTGGAGTACATGCCTTGTGTGCGATGGTAGCAGTTTCACCTTTGATTAGCTGACTTGTAAAAATTGATAGATGTTGCCACATAATTACACGGCCCCATGGTTAGCAGTTTCACCTTTGATTAGCTGACTTGTGGCAACATCTATCAGTTTTTACATAATTACACGGCCCCACGAAGCAGTTTCACCTTTGATTAGCTGACTTGTAAAAATTGATAGATGTTGCCACATAATTACACGGCCCCATGGTTGGGCATGCTTCTGTTTAAGTTCAAAGCATTTCACAGCTTGATATAATGCATGTAAATGATGCTCAGTAAATAGTTGGAGAACTGAAACTCAGCAGCTGTCTCCTTTGTGCATCCATTTTCAATAATTAATTGGGTATCCTGCGACTTTTAATTGGGAGAGTGATGATGCTAGTTTTACAACTCCTAAATTCGGTATGATCAGAACAAAAGCTCTTGTGTTCCTAAATGTGGGAACAGTGAAGCCAATCCCGATTATAGCAATATGAAATAAGCTGTAGTGATGTAAAAGTTAATGGTAACCATTAGAACTTTATATCAGTTTTTACTGTCAGGAGCGCAGGCAGCTTGTAGTCTTCAAGGAATTATTCTTTATGGTATCTTTCTGAGCACTGAGATAGTCTCCTTTTTCAAAGGAAATTAATGCTCAGGGTAAATATTGGAGGGGAAGTGTCTCCTTGGGCTAGAAATTGCAGTATCGTTAACGTTTGTATAGCGCTGGGAAAGTGTGTCCTTGGGCTAGAAATTGCAGTATCGTTAATGTTTGCATAGCGCTGGGAAAGTGTATGAACAAACAACTTCTTATGGTCAGTGCTTTTGCTCCTAGGTGTAGGTGTGTGTTAGGTTGTTTTGAGTCTCTGGATGAAACGGTGTCTGCAGATCCAGTGGGTGGCTCTATGGAGTTGCATTCACATGTCACTGTGAATACGGAATTAGAATTGGAGTCAGGTAGGTCAGAAGGGCCCTCCAGAGAGCGTCTACTGCAGGCTCCCACTTGGAGCACGTTCTGACCATGTATGGCAATCAGTAAGCCAGGGAAAGCTAAGGGATGCCAATGGTTAAATAGCATATGCCCTAAGACATTTACTGAAAACATATCAACTTCCAGTGTATCTGATGAGAAATCGCGTTTTTCAGACTATCTTTGTCAGCCTTCCAATGAGCCAGTGGAATTTTTTTTTCTCTCTCTGGCATTACTGTTAGTGTGTGAACTTTCTACTCATCCACTTGTGCTTCTTGTTATAACATTCAGATCTATTCTCTCTTAAGTGTGGGACACTTCATTATTTCAGTCATTTGGTGCAGTAATTTATTATTAATTACGCTTTCACAGTCAAGCGGTCGTGTTACCTCATTGCATTTATTCTTCGCCAACATATAAATGGATTATTTGTAATGAGACAGCTATGGGTTGCTACTGAATGTGGATTTTGCAACTTCAGCCTGAGAAGGATAATTCCCTCACTGCACTCAGCCTTTGAAAAGGGTTCACCATGAGAGGTTTCAGGAAACCACAGATCTGCTCATTGCCTGCTGGAGAAAGAAAACGTGTGAGGCTGTGGAAAATGACATTGATTATTTTAGCAATTAACATTGCACAGAAAGGAGGCAGAAACTGCTAGCATAAAGATCTGCACAATTTCTGGTAGGCTGCTTTTCATGCAGCCTTTTCCTGCACCTTTCTCCATCTGTGCTCAGGGACCCCTCAGATCAACCCGCAGAGACCTGGGCAGAGTCCCCCTCCGTGCGGGGCCACGGGTTGCTTCTCTGCTGTGATGTCTTACAGCAGCAAGATGATGACCCACAGGAACCCACTGGTACTTGGGCTTCTCCGTCCTTGTTTTATCTGCTTTTGTGCCTGTTCTGACAGTGATCTGGAAGAGAAATAATGTTGACAAGTTTGTGGGCTGCTTGGCATATTAACCATAAAGATTGCAAGTCCTACCGTAAAGCCAATAGAAATAATTAGCAGTTCGGCCCTCTTTGAATTTACATTTTCCCTTGAGCAGGTCTGTTCTTTTGGCTGTATGGTAGATGTGATATTGATGTAAGGTCAGCCAGCACTGAGCTCCTAGCTCTGCTTCATCAACCTATCACTGTTTTTTGGCAAGGCAGGACTCTCCTTCCACACCTGCGTGGTGCTGGCTATGACCGAGAAGAGGGAACCATTGCACTACAAAGAGCCGTGACCCATTTCCAGAATATGCAAGTCTCTAAGGCCTTTTTAATTCAGTGAGATGAATTCCTTTTTAGAAGGTGCTGAGGATGAACAAAACACTTTATTGGGGGCAGGTTTGGGGGATGCCAGCAGTCAGTGAGCTAGGCCTGGATTTTACATTGCACTGTTACAGATTCAGTGATAAAAGTCAATTAAAACAGAGAAATGCATAGTATTTTTGCAGGAATTATCCTAGAAATGTATGTTTAATATTTGTTGAAGAGGTGTTAAACCGCTTCTGTCATAGCAGCGTGATGCTTTCAAAGGCGCTTTCTCACTGGGTGATGATGTGGCTTTCTTTTCATGCTGTTGCAGCGCAGGTACCGTGCAGTGCGAGAAGCAGATAGCTGAGTTCTGCTTGAGTGCTTATTCCTAGCCATGATTCACGCAGTGGGGACCAAACTCAGGTCTCACAGCCTGGAGTTTTTATACAGAAGTTGGATAACATTTCAGCTGTCTAAAGAAGGTTTACTGAAATCCTCTATTGCAAACTGGTGCTTTGAGTTTTTGAAGAACGCATGGCATTGTTGTTGTCAGTGTCATAAAGACACTGAGTCACACAGTTGGGTCACAGTGCAGCGTTTTTCACGAGGCTGTTGCTTCCACAGAACTGCACACAATGGAATAGGAGTTGTTTCCCTGAACTTAATGGCGTACATGACCAGAAGGTACTGAGAAGTACAGAGCTGGAGAGATGTACTTGAAAGGGTTACTCTGGAGTTACCTGCAGTCAGACTCTGGTCCCTATGCCTGAAGTCTGAACTGTAGGTCATGCCTTTAGGGTACAAACTGTTTAAGCATGAGAAATCATTTTTTGTTTGCCTGTTGTAAATTCATATCAGGTATCTTTGTCTCTCTTGAAATGAGTGCTTTACTTCCAAGGCTAAGGTTACTCTTCTCTTGCACAGTTGCCTCAAATGTTTGCTGCACATTTTCTAATCTGGAGTGAATTCCTGTGACTCTTGCATGTTTATTTAATTACAGAATAAATATCTCCAACTTTTTTGTTTAAATTTATCTTGTTACAGTTGTTCAGTGAAAAAATCAGTGGAGCAGAAGGAACAAAGTTAGATGAAGAATTTCAAGAAATGGAAAGGGTAAGGAAAGTAACATTATGTTTTCAGTCTTAAACTACTGCAGAATCAAAAGTGTTTCATGTTTCAAGTGATAGAATGGTATTGTGGATTTACCTGGGGGGGGGAAACGCCACCATGTGCTTCCAAACAGAAATATATAAGTGCAAATTTATCCTTGAGCCTTGTCAGCTCAGCCAAGGAAGAAGAGACATCCACAAAGGCTGTCTGAGCAGAGGAAGCAGGTTCCACTGACACCTCCTGACAGTGAAGAGAAACTCCTTCAAGAATGGTGCAGAGCACCAGGAGGGACCTTCCTCCTCTGTGTGGATGGGAGATTAGAGAGAGAAGTCTTCAGTGTTTAGTGAGTCTTTGTAAATATCATGAAGCCTTCCCGTCTGATATTATTAATGCTAAAAATCTACCTACTAGGATCAAATTTTCTCTTGATATAGAATTGTATTTCTTGGTTTAAATCCATGTTCAGAAATTTACATGAATTGTTGTGGAAATTGAGGTGTTTGCTGTCTACTTACTAGTTGTGTTGCAAATTAAACCATCTTACTGCCAGTTTCTGCTTTTTCAGCTATTCGTGCTTTGTTTTTATTGCCCTTGTCTTTCTGTGTATTTTTTTTTAATGTTCATAGTAGACCTAGGTCACAGCTTTTATTGTTGGCAGATTGAGGAAAAGTCTTGTGTGAGTTGTTTTTTTTCCAATATGCACTTTTGAATTTATGATCTAAACAGGTTTCTAGGTTTCAGTTTCTTTGGCTGCAGAATAATTATTTCCTTTCTCTGCATTATAAGGGGGAAAATAATGTGTAGGCCCTAAGGGAGGAAAAGGGAAACAAACCAGAAATGTAATTTTTATAGCATTTTTAGAAACGATTAAGTGGGAAGACAGTGCAAACCACTGCTTAAATGGCCCTGACCCCTAGATTGAGGGAGATGTTCAGTCTTTTTTCACCTGTGGAGAAAAGCAGTCTTAGCAACAACTGTTGGGCTGGCAGGAAAATTGTAGTCTAGAATGTGTAAGCAGTAGTCAAGACTGATGGGCTGGAAAGGCAAGCCCCCATTTTGATATGAACCTTCTCTCCTTCCCAGTGCTACCTGCCAATTAATGTGGTTTTGGTAAAATCCTCTCATAACTACGACATGGCTATTTATTTTAAGCTACAATATTAGCTTTATTTTAAATGAAATTTTGTAATCAGCTAGAATAGTATGTTATGGCTAATAAAATTATAAAACTTTCCAGTAATCAATTAGATTTTTGCTAACTGTGTTACTTTTCACTTTCAGAAAATTGATGTTACTAATAAAGCTGTAACAGAGCTTCTGTCCAAATCCACAGAGTATCTTCAGCCAAATCCAGGTAGGATAGGAACAATAGGTGTTGGATTTTGCTGAACATTGTCTTACTTGGAAGTTCGTCCTAGGTAAATAAAAGCTAATTGGGTCATCATTGTGAGGCTTCTGGGCATCCTAGAGAACTTTATCTGTGAGTGCAGTGAACAACTGTAAAATTTACATGTCATAAGTCTGATCTGGGATGCATTCAACTTGCAGCACACAGCGCATCTGGTTTACTGGGCACGTGTGGGTTGTGCATGCATGACATGTCTCGAACAGCTTGGGCCTGTGGGGCACCATAGGTGTTCGTATTTGTGCTCAGTTTCCTGGAGTGGGGTATGGATCCCTACAGTGAGAAGAAAACCAGTGGTTTTTTTTAGTAGAGGTATAAAAAGCTGTTGAATTTAACTCCTAGGCTGCTGCCGTCAGAGGTGCTGGTGGTTATGTAGCCAGGAGGAAGAGGGCTGTTACTTGCTTACCCGGTATTTGAACGAGGTTTTGCATTTTCTGGGCACTGCTAGATCTCAGTGGATCATCAGTTAATAGAGGTTTTTCAAGTGTTGTTTTAAGAAACAAGAAAGACGACATGTTTACATTTGCAGTCTGTCACAAGGTTTATCTGTTATGACTTTGATTCACTGTCCAAACCAGCTATTGGAGGAGCCTTCATTTTTTGAGAACTGACTGAATTCCTGTTTAGTGAGCTACACCAGTGACTTCAGAGATGGCCGTCTGTTGTGGGTACCTTATGAGGTGCACATCCCTGAAGAAGTTTAATGGGTTATGCCCACATAAGGATGGTAGAATTCAGTCCTTTACCAAGGCCCAGCCGGCAGGTTCAAGGTGAAGCTAATCACCATGGTCCACACTCCTCAGGAATCCCCTGCCCATGGCTGCTACTGTGTTGAAGAAGCCATTGAGTGATAATAGTAAGGAGTAGATTGGAAAAACTCTCCAAGAATAGATGCATGTTTCTGTCATGATACATGCAAGATAACAATAAATTAATTTCTATGTAGGAGGCCATTCTGCAGAACAAATTTCTACTGTCTTGATTACTGGAACAAAAAAAGTTGGGGGGAAGTTCTGCAAAGTTCTCATAAGCAAGAGAGGGAGAGAAAGAGAGCATGAAATTGGCTTTGGCTGTGCTTGTATCTATTCTGTTTGCTTTCTGCAATACTTCTAATCAAGGAGTTCAGAAGCAGGAATATTCAAAGGGATACGAGTATTGGTAAATATTCACAGAAGGTGACAAGCACTCCCACTATATATCTGTCTGGAGAAATTATGCTTATTCCATTGGGAATAAAAAACAGGTTCATATGACCCATATTGTTGAATGGAGTCTTATTTCAACTTTTGACTATGAAGTACTGACAGCAAAAAACTTACAAATCTACAGACCAGCTTAGTGACTTGCATCATGATATTGCTTGTTAAATGATTTCTTGCTTTAAATATATTCGGTTTAGGAGTGTATTTCTAACTTTTTTGTTCTTTTTTATGTCCCTCAGCATACAGAGCCAAGCTGGGAATGCTGAATACTATGTCAAAGATCAGAGGACAAGTTAAAACCACAGGCTATCCCCAGACAGAGGGACTCCTAGGAGACTGCATGATACGGTATGGCAGAGAGCTTGGCGATGATTCTATGTTTGGTGAGTTTGTGTATCTCCTCTGTGAATATTTCAGCATGAAGTTCTTTGCAGAATATTACTCAGTGACACCACCTATGTAAATAGCTGCTGCAGGTAAGAGAGAAAGTTAGGTAAAGTACAGTGATCAGGAGGTGATTGATATAATTAACAAAACATGATGCTTGTATGTATTTTTCCACCTCTATTGCAGGTGGATTTGATAACACTATTACTGATGCTGTCTGATTGATATTATTACCATAACCATTTTAGTTTCTAAGTTGCCAAACCTAAATAATTTAGGGTGATTCTTAGATACACTGTATTTCTTTTAACTGTATTAAAAAAAATGGTTACCCGATATTTGAGAAGTAAACTAAGGGGAAAAACTTCTCATAGAAAAAAATAAACAGGAACTTTGGGAGGTTTTGGTGTGTTTTTTTTTTTAAATAGTGAACTGGTATTTCTGTGCTTTGGAGCAGTGCATCTTAAATACGCATTTTCTTGTTTTCATGAAAATGAACTCTAGCTTGGCCATGCTACAATTCTTTGGTAAATCAAATCTTACCTATTTCCTCTCAAGATACGCTGGTACTTCACAGCCAAAATCTTGATAGAGGCCTTGCTTGCTAAACATGCATAGTATGTGGGCTTGACTGGAATGAATTTAAAGCATTGTCACAGAGCTACTCAGTGGGTGCTTTTTTATATGGCTGGGGTTAAGAGAGAACCAGAGAGAAATAAATGAGAAAAGGAGAATCCTCGTTTGGGGAAGAGAGCAGAATAGGGATAGGAGAGAGTGGTACGAGCTGGGACTGCGTGCAGAAGCCAATACAGAACTGGATGGCTTTGTTATGTGGTGGTGTTAATATCTGCAATTTTACACACAGTGGTTGGTTGTCTTGAAATAGCGACAGCTAGGTAGGTGTAGGGACTTCACACTTGAGTCCAAGAAGGTGCTGCGTAGGGAAGGATGCTGCTGATAGCCAAAGACTGATTTATTCTCCTCATGAAGAGTGAAGAGGCACAACTCATCTGTGAGCTGGATGTATTTGTGTGTTTGCAAAAGCAACGGGGATACTAAATAAAACTAGGAAAGGGGAAAGAACATTTCAAACGCTGTTCTGCCTGTTGATACTTACATGCTTAATAAAGTATAGAGCTATTTAAATAGGTGGTTTTAAAGAAGCGGCAACAATTTTGACTGAAAGGGGGTTTGCAAAGAAAGTGTATGTGAGGAAAGCTGTATGTGAGGAAGCTGTAAAACATGATTTTGTGATTGAAAAGTTACTCACGTTTTGTGTATTTACTAATATCACTAGAGTCGTACAAATTAAGCAGCTTGGTGTGCAATTCTCAAGGTGGAGGAGGTTTGTAACCTATGCAAATACAGAAGGGAAAATAGTATTTATTTTTTTTCCCTGATGCCCTTTAGGGGGAAAAAAGTATACTTCAGAACAAAAATTTTCCAGTTCTAGTTTTCTGTAGGAGACAAGCAAGTGCGTAGCCTGTGCTATTTTTTTTTTTACTCTTCAAGGGCCTGCAGCAGATACAAAGATACCTATTTGAAATAGCTGTTTCATAAGACAAATTTTCTAGTTTTACATATATTGAAATATAAGTAGTCTGTTCTTTACTGTAGGCCTTGCGCTACTGGATGCTGGTGAGAGCATGAAGCAAATGGCAGAGGTGAAGGACTCGCTTGATATTAACGTCAAACAAAATTTTATTGATCCTCTACAGTTGTTGCAGGACAAAGATCTAAAAGAGATTGGGGTAAGTTTTCCAGGGTAAAGCTTCACTTACCAATAATCAGAGTCAATCAAACTCTAGTTCTTGAAAGCAATAATATTTTTGTTGAAAAAATATTTGTCTTGAAAGCAATAAGGTAAATAAATTTTACTGCATTTAAGTTTGTATTTCTAGCAAAACGGGGATGAAATCTGCATAAAAATCAATGCCTGGCTATTTTTCACTTGTCTAACTTACTCGGTTTGCTGTATTGCTTGTACATACAGTACAAGAAGGACAGTGAAGAAAATTACTTTTATTTTTTGCTATTTTATTTTAACCAACATTTTTATTAATTCTTATGAACATGAGTGGGCTATGATTTACTGTGACTGATTATCCTGTCTTGCTGTCTCTGTCAGCTTAAAGCTGTTTATGATGGAGAATGAATGTAACTGTTGAAAAAGGCTATTCAGGGTAATCACAGAATGATCTGAAGTGCCATAAAATGTTGAAGGGCCATTTGCCACTATAGGAAAAATATAGGAAGCTGAGGAACACATTTTTAACCTTTTAGAGTTAAGTTTTTCAGTGCTTTTGTTTACATTGTGACAATTCAAAGAAAGCCAGGCAGTCATTTGTCTGAGTCTGTTGATTCCAATAGACTTGGGTAATAAGCAAGTTAAAACCCTGATGAAGTGCAGAAATGAAATTATTTTATTTGTTTACACAAAAATGGATGTGGAAAGCATAGCAAAAAGATAGTAATAATGTCTTGATGTCTGTAGCTGTCTCCTGTGATACATAACTGTTTTCAGTTGTAGTTCTTCTGAAATGTCAGACAACCTGTTTTCATCATTAGCTTTAATGAGCATTTTGTACTGTCACTTTGAGTCCATTCTGTGAGTCTGTCAGTCCCATGATTTTTGGCAACAGAAAAGCTTGTGTAGTTATATCAGATAGAAATGTCAAGTTGACACCTAACAGAGAAAGCAAGAATACAAGATTTGTTGGAGCACTGCTCATGGAATGAGAGGGGAAAATAACCCTTTAACTTTTTTAGCTGTTGTATTGCAAATAATTCAAGAGGTGAAACTGAATTAAATGTAGAATGTGGAGACACACACATATTAAGATTGGATCCTGCTTCTCATTTAGACAACCTGAGGTGTTGCACATTTAGTGAGGTCCATCAGTTGAATGCCAAAGTTTAGCAAGTCAAGATAGACAATTCCCCAATTTATTTAAAATTTCATTCATATTGTCCTGGGATAGAGCTAATTTTCTTCCTAGTAGCTGGTACGGTGTGTTTTGGATTTAGTGTGAGAATAATGTTGATAACACACTGATGTTTTAGTTGTTGCTAAGTAGTGTTTATACTAAGTCAAGGAATTTTCAGCTTCTCATGCCCAGCCAGCAAGAAGGCTGGAGAGATGAAAGAAGTTGAGAGGGGACACAGCCAAGGCAGCTGACCCAAACTGGCCAAAGGAATATTCCACACCATATGACATCATGCCCAGTACATAAACTGGGGGGAGTTGGCTGGGAGTGGCTGATCACTGCTCAGGGATTATTGCTTGGGCATCGGTCAGCGGGTGGTGAGCAATTGCATTGTGCATCACTTGTCTTTTCTGGGATTTTATTCTTTTGTTATAGAATTATAGAATCGTTTAGGTTGG